GTATAAAAAATCAAAAAAAAATTTTTATTAAATTGGCTAAGCCACAATGTCGATCATCCAAATTCGGGGTTGTCCACCATGCTATATTATAGGGTACCGAATATTAGTAGTTTATAATCAGATAATCGGTCAACCCAGCTCTACATTACAGAAACCCGCTTTATGAAAAATGTAATCTAAATACTGTAAATATATAAATTTTCAGAATAATTTATCCAAGCAAAATTCTCAGTTAATCAATAAAATCTATTTTTTATCTAAGTTCCAAACCCAACTTTTTACAAACCTCATTACACGTATGATTTGCTAAAAAACACATTTCAATACCTTTACGTCCTAAATTAGTTTGACCAAATCTTGAATAATCAACACAATGTATTGCTGGATCAGTTAATAAGAAATTATCATCAAGTTCAATTCCTTGAAGATCACAAACTACTAAATAACCTTTTGTATGTTCATAAGTAAAATGAGCAAAAGCCTCAAGAGTAGGACGAGATAAAGTAATTATTCCACTATTTGTATTAAAACGTTTAAATTCTACATCACGAAGTTCTTTTTCTGAAATATAATAATGAATTCTACTATCAATAATAACACGCACAAGATTTGCGCGAAGGAAATTTATAGGAGAAATCTTTTTTCTTTTTGCAATTAAATTAAATCTTTTTGAAAGATAATTTGTTACAGCAGAAACTTCTATAGCTTCAAGATATTTTTTAAAAATATCATTTGAAGTATTTTGAATATATTTTTTCATTACCATTGTTTCTGGTGGACCATTATTAGCACTAATAGAAAAATAAGCGCATTTTTCACTACCAGAAGAAAATGGTTGAGAAGCAATCTTGAAAGAAAATTTTCTCGAAAATAGTTTCTCTTTGTTAAAGAATTTTTGATCTTTAAGTTCATCTAGAGAATTAGGAATATGATAACTTAAAGTTTCACCGGTTTGTAAAGGAAGAGAAATCCAATTAGGTACATTAGGGTTTATAATAATTTTTTGACGAGAAGGATATAGGTTACTAGATCTACATCCAATTGTGCTGGTTAACGAAACGGAAGTTATAATTGAAGAAGTGGTAGCCTTGATAAATTTATTAATTAATTGAATTGGATCACCTCCAACAAGATCAAATACAGGAAAATCACCAATTATACTATGAAATACTTTAATCATTTCATTAGTATATTCAGTAACTTTTCCAAAAAAGTAGAGAATTCTTTCAGATCTCATTTTTTCTAAAACACTTTCAGCAGTTAAACCGTATGGATCACCATTTGGATAATTATCATCTAAATCATTAAAACGACGACCATGTGGTGGACTATCACCAACATGAAAGAGAACTCTAGTACCATTATTCCAAGATAATTGAGTTATAGAAGCATTAAGACCTCCAAGAACATCCTCTGGTGGATCACCACCACCACTGGCTTTTAATGTAGCCAAATTTTGTTGAAATTTCTCATAAGAATTTGTAAAATCAAAAATTTGTATACGAGAGTTATCACAATGATCTCGATAGCCACAAAAACCGATACGAATTTTAATGCACGGATTTGTATTCTTTATATGTTCAGTCACCTGTAAAATACACTGTTTGGCAGCAGCGATATGACTTTTCATAGAACCTAAATAAAATAACATGGAAGTAAATAAAAACTCAAGAAGGTAGTAATTATTACTGTAAAAAATTATTTAAAAGATACAAAACCTGTACAATCTAAAACGTAACAAAGGTCGACTTCTTTTGAACGATCAATTTTAGCAAGTGTATTGAATATAGCTCTTTCCCGCTTATCTATAACTTCTTTTCTTTTCTTGAATCTAGGAACAGTAGATCCACTTGAAGATTCCATAGTTAAATTAACCTTGTATTGCATTTTCAGAGAAAATTGAGATGAATCTTTTGTAATCCGTAAATATTATGTTTCTTTAAAGCTTTTAATAATTAATGTCCGGAACAGAGCGGAAGACTTTATTTACAGTCAGAAAAATTTATCTTTTCATCTCTTTCCTTTTTTAGATTGCGATGTAGCCAATAAATTCATGATCCGAACTTTAATCTTTTCTAGTTTATAAATCATTGATAACGATAAAATAAAAAGGTAAACCTTATGAGATATCCGGAGTATTTACGGATTACCTTGAATGATATAAAATTTACGTCGTTATGAATCAAATAAACTAGGTACGTGCATACATATGTACGCACGTATTTTAAGTTTTACTAATTTAACACAAAAACTTTATTCGTTATGTACAGTACTGTTTTAGGCTTTGCGGTCTATCGATAAGATTGATAAAAAAAACTCCTTTGATGGCTATTCATATTTCCATTGAATTTTATTTTGCTATGCAAATCAATGAGTTAATGACAACACTGTTTTGTCATGATGCGAGCCTCCCCAAAATTATGCAATTTATCTCAGAGCATGTTTATTCTTAGCACTCAGAGAATTGAGTGATGAGCTAAGATACACTGCTATCTTCTCAAAAATTTTTTTTCACTCTGAATAGGGTATCTATTTATATGAAAAAAATAATTACAATAATTAACAATACAATTAATTTTTATGTATTGCTAATTTTTTAATTTTATATTATAATCCTCCTCTAAAAATATATTAACTAGAAAAACCTTTTAACTAAATATGTATAATAAACTATACATATAAAATATGTAATATAATACACTATAACAGTGTCAAAAAAAATATTTACTTAATACACCTAGCATCCCACTCAATTTGCACACAAGAATAATAGAATTATGAGATTACAAGATTTTTAAAGAAATAATTGAAGGTTTTTTTATTATTATATTTATTCAACTTATTGAAATTTAATTATTGCTACAAGTTATAAACCAAATTACACCAATTCAATGCATTTTTATTCAAATTCAAATTTTATTTAATACACATATAAAGCTTTAAATTTGAATTTTTTATACTATTAATAAAAGGTACTTTGTTATATCCACTACAAGCTTTTTTTGCTTGTTCAAAATCTTTAATGTTATCTACTATTTTTTGAATAAGTTTAAAGTTCGATTCAATACTTTCGAAGCTATTTTTTTTGTTTGAGAAAATTATTTGACTTTTCGAAAATCAAGCAGCTAAAATATAAAATTAATAAACAAATTTATTTAAATATAAAAATATCATGAAAAAATTTTTATACTTTATATAAAATTAAAATAGTACATATTTAAATTTTATAAATTTCTATTATTTTTAATATTATATTTTTCTAATAATCTTTGCTGCAAACATGCACTTTGTTCTAATTTTTGTAATCTGTCAAAAGAGAATACACTATCAAAAAGAAGTTTGTTAAGAGTATGAACCCTTAATATATCTACAAATGTGAAACCTATTGCAAATTCTTTATTTTCAATATTTATAACAGCTTGCAACTAGTGATGCCACCAAAATTGATTTTCAAAAAAGACCTATTTCATCTCCATTAGAGCAAATTAAAATTTTTTATA